ATGTGCCTGTGATAAATAGGGCAGTAGGAAAGGAAGGCCTGACTGCAGGCAGTTGGCATTCAGGAGTTTGTTAGCATCTTTTTTGATATTTTGGTTTTAAAAATACATTTGTTTACTCTGTGTCTATGCATGTCCGTGTCCTCTTAAGTGCTATAGACAGTTCCTTTACCATTGAGCTCCAGCCCTAATCCTCCCTTTAGACTTTGGTCTCTGAGCTGGTGAGGTGGCAGTTCAGTGAGTAAAGGGACTTGTCACCAAACCAGATGACCGAAGTTGGATCTCCAGGACACACATGGTAGAAGGAGAAAATCAACTCCTGCAAATTGGCCTCTGACTTCCTTGTGCACACACAATAAATAAACAAACGAACAAATAAATGAGCTTCTAAAAAATTAGATTTTAGTCCCTAAGGGCAGGGAAGTTTTTGTTTATTGCCATATTCCTAGGCCAGTGCTTAGCACAGTCATAGTCAAGAAATAGAGTTTGGTGTAGTGGCACTTGTGTAGCAGAAAATGACTACCCTGAAGGAGATCTTTGTCATTTTAAACCTAGTTTATGGAATGGACTATGTTCAGTACATTAGTTTTTTGGACTTTATCCTAGAACAGAATTCCAAAGAAGATAAGGAATTTGCTCAGAAACACTTAGAAGTGACTCACTGAATTGTCAAGACAGTAACCTCCAGGCCAGTGAGGGTTATGGCCCTCCCAGGTATCAAGATCTTCTTGGTTCAGAGCAGAGATTCTCAACCTGTCGGGGGTCAAATGACCCTTTCACAGGGTTTCCTAAGACCATCAGAAAACACAGATATTTACACTATGATTCATAGCAGTGGCCAAATTACAGTAGTGAAGTAGCAATGAAAATAGCTTGATGGCTGAGTGGTCATGGTGCACACCTTTAATCCCAGCACTTGGAGGCAGAGACAGGTGGATATCTGAGTTCAAGGCCAGCCTGGGATACAGAGCCAGTTCCTCCAGGACAGCCAGGACCACACAGAGAAACCGTGTCTTGAAAAACCAAAAAAAGAAAATAGTTTTATGGTTGGGTCACCACAACATGAACAACTATATTAAAGGGTTGCAGCATTAGGAAGGTTGAGAACTACTGGTTTAGAGGCATGCAGTACACTGGTATCTGCAGAGTTTGGTGCGATACTGGTACCAGATTATCTCGGGAGGACAGCTAGCTGAGATGGGGCATGGTGTCTTACCTTGTGGGGAAAAATGCCTCAGTTCTAGTGAAGTGAACACAGAAAGGCTTAGCCCTCATCATCTTAGTAATCATGGAAGGTGGGGGCTGTCCAATTGTTGATCCCTCCCCTCCATTTCTCTCTCCTTCCCCTCTCCCAGTGACTCAAAAAGGATATCCCAGCTGGATTTGAACTCTGTCCGTAGCCAGAGGCCTTGTCCTTTCAGCCTTTCTGCTTCAGAATTCTGAGCATATAGGGTGCACCATTGTAACTGTTGCCACTGTATCTGATACATGTGTAAATATGTATGTTACTGTGTATTTATTTCATGTACAGATAGATGCCACATCCTTGCAGATTATCAGTCATAATAGAACAACCACTGTCTTCATTGGACACCCACATTCTCAGTGTTAGCATACTGCTCTGTCTCCCTTTTCTGTATTCTTGGCTTTATTCTACTACTAAACAGGGGACTATGAGGCTGCTAGGGAGTGTGAGTGGATTAAAAAGTCACCTGAAGGGGGCGGTTCCCATTCATCCTTACTTGCCTTTGAGTTTAATCGTATGTTTGTAGATACAAAGAACTCAGCTTTGGGTCTGGAGAGATGGCTCAGTGTTTCAGAGTACATGTAGCTCTTACAGAGGGCCCAAGTTCCAGAGGGTCCATCAGGCATGCATGTGGTGCACAACATTCATACATCTGAAGTAAATAAGTAAATGGTTTGTTTTTAAAGTTACTGTTTAAAAAAAAGAAGAAAGCAGCTTTGTGTACAGGAGTTTAAGCGTGAACTAAAACTGTTAGCTAGCACCATCTATACTACCAAGTTAAAGTAGCAAACATCTCTGTGGCTGAGCCTTTCTCTCTCAGTGTAAGTAACGACTGTCAGCAGTTGGTCTCCTTCCCTTGCTTTTCTTCTCATGTCTGCATGTGTAAGCTCTGTCTAGATGTGCTCTCCACGTCTCTTCACTGTTTCCGAACTAGTTCATGTTGCACGTGTGCTGTCACCTGCTTTGTAAGAGCGACATTATTGGTGAGGCCATCTGTTTGTGTGTCTTTGTGGAGCTTTGCTGTCCTTTATGGTAGTTGCTAGGCACATACGGCTATATAACATGAAATACAGCATAAAACCAGACACCTTTAGTGCTGAGTAAACACCTGTAGCTGCTGGCATGGGAGTTGCACAGCATGTATACATGACCTACCGTATCATAACAAGTCCTCTTGGACAGCACTGCAGGGCTTCTGTTGTGTGAATACATTACTGTTTATGTACTGTTGATGGCATTCAGGTATGCAAACTTTTCCTGTTAGAAATTGCTGTGGTAAGCATTCTATTTGTGCATGTGAGACTGTATATAATCTACTTGGGCAATTGTGTTAATTTCTGTAGGGTAAAATTAGGATAAGGGCATCTTAAACATTCTCATATTCTGTTAATTACTCTTGAATATTTTTACCAATTTACATTCCATGGCCAGTAGCATGTAACAGTAACACTTGATAGATAACCTCGGGCTTTGTTTCAGCTATGCTGTTGAGTGAAAATTGTCCAGCTTGTAGTTGTCATTTGTTAGAATACTTTCTTCTTTTCAGACAGGGTCTCACTATATAGCTCAGGATGACCTTGAGGTTGGCATTCTTCCTTCTACCTCCCATGTACTGGGATTATACATAGGCCCCACCATGGTGGGGGTTTTTTGTTTGTTTGTTTGTTTGTTTGTTTTTGTTTTTGTTTTATTTTTTTCCAACAGACAGTGGTGGCAACGCCTTTAATCCCAGCACTTGGGAGTCAGAGGCAGGGGGATATCCCAATTTCAGGACATCCTGGTCCTCGGTGAGTTCCAGGACAGCCAGGGCTACCCTGTCTTGAAAAGCCAAAATAAAATGTTTCCCCTTTGTTTTATATGTGTTTGGGTGTTATGCCTGCATGAATATATATGTACCGCATCCATGCAGTTTTTATGGAGGCCAGAAGAGGGGTCAGATTCCCTGGGACTGGAGTTGTGATCTGCCCTATGGATGGTGAGAATCAAACCCCAGTCTGATGCAAGAGCAGTCAGTGCTCTTTGCTGCTGAGCCAACTCTATCTCATTTCTCACCAACTTCTAATGAGTCTTAAATTTGGATGAGTGGGTACTCCACATTTCTACTGTCCATGCTTATTCGCATATGAGTTATACATATGTGCAGCTACAAGTTGCACATAGAAGCTACCTAAGGTTAAAATCAGGTTGTCTTGTAGCTGTGTTCAATTCATGTGCTTGAACCCGGAGCTCACCAATTCAGCTAGTGCATCTAGCCAGCTTGCCTCTGAGTGCTGGGATTACAAGCCTACAACATGCCTAACCAGTAACCAGCTACATTTATTTCTCTATATATTGCCAATGAGTTCATACCAGTACCTCTCAGCACAATGTTCATTCTAGTTTCTTACTGTTCCGTGTGTTACTCTCTTCTGATAGGCAAGCTTGGGCTTCCCAGATTCCAATATTTGCTTGTGTCAGCCACTGGATGGAACCAGTGTCCTGTTACTATTTCTATGGGGATGGCCTTCTTATAATATCTGCTTAGACCTTTCACCCAGGACAGCCATCTCCTGCATTCTTGCTTGGAAATTCCTTTCCCAGAAAATGTCTTGGTGTGAGGGTGGAAAGGTTCAACTTTTGGACTGTATTACTCAGGGAAAAGTAAGTGATGTTTGGGTTTTTAAAAAATGTTTATTTTAGCTGGGTAGTAGTGGCCGTTAATCTCAGCACTAGGGAGGCAGAGGCAGGTGGATCTCTGAGTTTGAGGACAGCCTTGTCTATAGAGTGAGTTCCAGGACAGCCAGAGTTACACAGAGAAACCCTGTCTTGGGGCGGGGTGAGGTGGGGTGGAGGGCAGGGATCCAGTTTATTTTATTTTTAATTACATGTGTGTTTAGATGTCTGTGCAGGTGCAGGCCAGAGACTTCAGATCTCTTGGAATGGGAATTATAGGAATTGAAGTTAGTTCCCCTGCAAGAACAGTATGTGCAGTTAACTGCTATGCTATCTCTCTAGCCCACATAGGCTCTTTCTTGTTTTTTCTAGTCAGGGTTTCTCTGTGTAACAGCCCTGGCTATCCTAAAACTCACTTTGTACACTAGGTTGGCCTTAAACTCAAGAGATCCTGAGTGCTGGGAATAAAGGTGATTGCCTCCACCGCCTGGCTAAATTTTAGTTTTCTTGATCATAATTATAAAGAATCCTCTCCCCCCGTCCCCCCCCAATTTTTGAGATTTGAGTTTTGCTGTGTAGTAGCTCAAGCTGGCTGGCCTCAAACTTGCCATCCTCCTGCCTTAGTCCCCTGCCTAGGTCCTGGAATTAAGTCCTGTGTACCACCTCATCCAGGTTGTGTCTGGTTCTTTGGGAGGCTGAAACAGGAGGATCTCTGCAAGTTTGAGGCCAGCCTGGTCTACATGGTTTCAGCCTGAGCTACATAGTGAGACCAAAGGTCTTAGGAAATTGACTTTGTCATCTTCCCACATAGGGAGCACATGTCCATACTTCTGTCACTATAGTAGGAAGCAGGAAGTATTTCCTGAGTTTTAGTGGGGACTGGCTTCACAGAATAAGACTTTGAATATTGAAATTTGTCCCAGCTGGAAAAGAGCTTCAGCTCTGATTCAAACCAGTATGCTTGTTCCTGAGCACTCTGCCTTTTCCCACAGAAAGTGCTTTTCTGCCCTGTAAAAGAGGCGCTGGAAGTGGATTGGAGTGGAGAGAAAGCCAAAGCCGCCTTGAAGCGCACAGCCCCGGACTACTTTCTGCTGCAAGGTGAGGCCTACAGATGGAGCCAACCCAGGCAGGCTCCAACTTTGACTTCTGCACTGTCACCCAGTGCTGAAGCTGTGTGGGTTTCTGTCTCAGCCCAGAGTGGGATGCAGCCTCACTGAGCCATCTTTCAGTATATCCTTTCTGGTATTCACGGATTTGTTACCAAAATAATGATTGTCTTCTCAGTGTTGTTCTGTCCCTGACAATTTCAGTTGTTTATTTTTCATTTTTTATTTTAGTATATATATATTTTATTTTATATCTATCTATATATTTTATTTTAGTATATATATATTTTATTTTAGTATATAGTTATTGAGACAGTTTCACTATATAGCTTGTCCTAGAACTGGCTGTTTAGACTAAGCAGGCCTTGAACTCACAGAGATCCACCTGCCTCTGCCTTCTGAATACTGGGATTAAAGATGTGCACCACCATGCCAGGCTCCATTCCCAACTCCCCATTCCCCTACCCAGATAAGGTTTCTCTGTGTAACAGCCTTAGCTGTCCTGGAACTTGATTTGTAGACCACGTCGGCCTGGAACTCAGAGGTCTGCTTGCCTCTGCCTCCAGGTGAGCGCCACCACTCCCGTCCTCAATCTTTTTTTCTTTTTTCTTTTTTTTTTTTTAAGTTTATGTATATGAGTGTTTTGTTGGTGCGTTTGTGTGTGTGCTGTATGTGCCTAAGTACAGTGTCTGTGTCTGGTATCCACAGAGTACAGAAGAGGGTGCTAGACTCCCTGGAGCTATAGTTATGGGTGATTGTGAGCCATCTTGTCAGTGCTAGGAACCAAACCTAAGTCCTCTGCAAGAGCAGCAGGTGTTACATCTGCTGAGCCGTCTCTCTAACCCCATCGAGGTTCAGTTTTTAAAATACCATTTAAAAAATAATTGCTGGGACATGGTGACATTTGCCTATAATCCTAGCACTTGGGATTCAGACACAGGAGGATCGTATAACTCATCCTGGGTTACCTAGTGAGTTCACTAACAGCCTCAGCTACATGAAAAGTTGTCTCAAAATCAGGAAAAGGACAGGGTAGGGAATTTCAGGGGGTGAACTATTTTAACATCTTGAGTGTCCATTCATCTAGAAATATTTAAGTGGGTTAAGGAGGAATGAGTGTTAGGCATGTGAGAAATGCCTCCCTAAGGACTGTGGGCCCTTGTGTGGAAGAAGTACCAGCTGTACTGTGAGCAGCACCTGCTCCTGGGCTGGGGCTCTCTGCAAGCCCTGTGTCTGCACAGGAAGCGGTAGCTACTAGTTTGCAGCATTTGTGGATGTGGTGAAACCCTTTCTAACATTGCTTGTGAAGAAGCCCCAGAGTCTGACCTGGACTGTTTGTGGTTCTGGTTCTGGTGGTGAGTGATGTCACTAAACATCCCCACAGCAGCTCCCATGGCAGAAGTTGAACCACTGGAAATGTCAGTGCAAGCTCTAGCCTTACACCCGTAGTCCTAGCTCTGGGGAAGCTGAGACAGGAGAATTGTAACAAGTTCAAAGCTAGCCTCAGAAATGGGGAGACTATTTCAAAAAGGTTAAGAAAAAAGGATGTTATGTCTGAGAATGCAATTTCGAGGGGGGGCAGTTCCATCTGTCTCAACATCACAGCACTCTCCTAAGGTGCAGAGGTGGTCGTTAGTTTAATTTTCATTTATATTATTCATTTAAGGCAGGGGTTTCTTTTTGTAGCTCTGGCTGTCCTAGAACTCACTATCTTAACCAGAATGGGTTTGAACTCACAGAGATCCACCTGCCTCTGCCTGCCGAGTGCTGGGATTAATGACTTATAGTTCTTGAGACCAGGTGTTTGGAATAAAAACTGACCTGACTTTTCTGGCCTATTCTGCCATTTTTCTGAGATGAGTAATCCTTACATTCCCAGGTCCTTACAAGTCTATTCAGTACAGATTATGAAAGGGGTGGGGAGGTGTACCTCAGTATTGAGTGCTTACCTAACATACACAAGGTTTTCGTGTTCAATCCCTAGCACCAAAGAGAAAGGAAACTTTTGGTAGAGAGCAAAGAAGAAAAGTAACACAGTGTGGGCCTGTATTCTTCAAACCCACCACCTCACTACCTTTTGTGAAGCAGTTCATCCTCAGCTTCTGGAGAATTTAGAACCATATGCAGAGTGCACCCTCCTGAGCGAAATAAGGACAGTGATCTTAGAAGCTGGCTATTGGTCACCAAAGCCTGTTCCTTTTCCGTGATGCAGTACTGGCAATTATTTCATTGCCGATCTAAACAGTGAGTAGCCAGATGTGGGGCTCACCTCAAATCCCAGCTCTCAGGAAGCAGAGGCAAGAAGATTGCTATGACTTCAAGGCCAGTTGTGCCTTTCAGGAAAAAAAAAACAAAACATAAAACAAAAACCTAACAGATTGGGCAAAAAATTGATTCTAATAATAACGAGACTCTGTGACTAGCTGGAAGATCTGTATTGATTAATAGAACTGTGTATGTAATTTTTTTGTATTTATGATACTTACGTTAGATAAGCTCTTTGTTTTGTTATTACTGGTTTTTTGAGACATATTCTTAGTAAAACCACTGGTGGCATTGGACAGCAATCCCAGGTTCTTAGGAGGCTGACACAGGAAGATGGCAAATTCAAGGCCTCTGTACTGTAGCATGATCTCAAGGTCCTAGACAACTTAATGAAACCCGGTCTCAAAACAAGAAATAAGAAAGGACTAGAGGGTGCACCCCATTGGTTAGAGTGTCTGCCTCGCCTGTGCAACTGGCCCTAGGATCCATAAGCAGCATCGAAACTAACACATAGGTCAGGTGGTGGCACAGCCTTTGATCCCAGTACTCGGGAGGCAGAGGCAGGCGGATCTCTGAGTTCAAGGCCAGCCTGCTCTATAGATCGAGTTCCAGGACAGCCAGGGGTATTACACAGAGAAACCCTGTCTCAAAAAAAAGAGAAAGAAAGAAAGGAAGGAAGGAAGGAAGGAAGGAAAGAAAGAAAGAAACTAACACGCAGTTAAACAGACCATCTCAAAGCAATATACATGACCTAATAAATCATACATCAGTAGAATTGTTTGAAGTATAAAAATGTACAAAGATAAATACACAAATGAACTCATATTTCATTAGATTATTTAGAATTCAGATTTAAGAGACTGGTCAGTTAATTTCTTCCTGTCATCTCATAGCTAAGTAAACAAACTCCCCAAAAGGCAAATTGCCTCCTCTAACCCTCCTCAAGGCAGGGTTTCTCTGTATCCCTGGCTGTCCTGGAATTTGATCTGCAGGGCTGGCCTCGAACTTAGAGATCCTTCTGCCTCTACCTCATAAATGCTGGGATTAAAGGTGTGTGGTACTACCACTCAGCAGTAAATTGACTTCTTTACTCAAGATTCCAACCACAGTTAATGGCAAAGATGCTTACATAAAGCCAGTAATATACACATGAAAGCTGCTATGCTGCCCTGAAAAATGGATTGAGATTAATATACATGAGAGTCTTGTGCTTGGGGGCTGGAGACGTGGCTCGGCAGTTAGGAGCACCGACTGCTCTTAGAGAAGGCTGGGCTTTGGTTCCTAGCACCCACACAGTGACTCACAACCATCTATAGCTCCAGTTCCAGGCTATCCAACCCTCCTTCTGATCTCCATGGGCACCAAGCACACATGTAGCACATGGCTGTATGCATGCAAAATTCTCAAACACCAAATCTAAAAAATTTTTTCATTAATTAAAGGAAAAAGAGTTGTGATTATTAGTAACCGAGCAAGAATTTAAAAAGATACAGTTGTATGAATATAAGAATAAGGCATTGAGCTGAGGCCAGGGTTCAGTGGTAGAGCACCTTCACATGCATAGAGCTCCAGGTTGGACCCCTAGAACTGCCAAAAGAAAAGGAAGTCTTATATATAGTCCATCAGAGAGCAGACCAGGCCTTGTCCCCTCTGTATCTGGATGCTCCATACAGTTCTAATTGTAACACCTCTAGAAAAGCAGGGGGCTTGACAGATGGCTGGAGTTAACAGTACTTGCTTCTCTTCCAGAGGGCCCATATCTGGCAGCTCATAGCTGCCTGTAACTCCAGTTCCAGGGGGATCCAACACCCTATTCTGTCTGGCTTCCATAGGCATTGCATTCACACAGCCACATACACAAAGTAGGCAGAGTGGCTCAGCGGGTAGTATCTCTTGAGACCCGAGTTTGATCCCTAGAATCCACATAATGATGGAAAAAGACAACCAGTTTTACAGAGATACCCTCCAGCTTCTGTGCATACACATGCCCCACACAATAGTAATAAATGAAAAAGAAAAGAAAATCAGGACCATGCAGATGTAGGCATACAGTGGCTATTAGGACTTGTCATGTGTGCCAAGGAAGCAAGGTCCAGGAGGAGGGTATGTGGGATGTCTAGAGAAAGATGAGTACGCCTGTGTGTTGTGAAGAACCAGGGCCTGGGAGAAGTAGGAAGCTTGGGGTTTTATACCTAAGCTGCTTAGTATATGTGTGCAATTTGGTATTTTTGTTTGAGTTTTTCAGTTATGTGTGTCAGTATGTGCACGTGAGTGTGGGGGCCCTCAGAGGCCAGAAGAGAGTGTGGAATCCACTGGAGCTGGAGTGAACAGTATTTGAGGCCTCCCGGTGTGAGTGCTGGAATTAACCCCTCTGGAAGAACAGTACTTGTAGATTGGTCTGGTTGGCCTTGAACTCCAGGTCCTCCTCCTTCCACCACACCCAGCTAATTTGCTATTTTTATGTGATAGCTTAAATGATACTGAAGGATCTTTGGACCTATGAGTGGCCTTGTTCTTCTCCTGTTGGCTGGATGACATACCATCATCTATGCCCAGCTGATCTGGAAAGATGTGTAAGTAGTTTTTAGTTTTTCTAGATCTGAGAATGTGACCCATATGAGCTCCTGATGACTTTATGTCACCTGATAGTGCCCAGTGAGGACAGACAGGGTGCTTGGCTGTGATGCATCCCTGAGAAAGAAAGAACCTGACCTCATTTCCCCCATGTCTAGTGGAAAACGTTGGGCGCTAGATAAATGACTATTTTTGTCTGAGTGACTGGTTACTGCTTGTCTCCTCATTTGTTTCACTTTAGAACGAGAACTGTTCACATGCTGGTTTCCCTGCAGTATCCTCTTGCTGTCTGCTCCCTGGGTACTGGCAAGACTTCTTTTCTTTATGCTCCTCCGCCCTTACTTGGTGTTGAAGGTAGGGCCAGCCTTATGTGTATAAGTGTTCTACCATACTGCTCTAGCCCTTGGAAAAAAAATATTCTAGAAGCTGGAAAGATGGCTTAGCAGTTAAAAGCACTGGCTGCTCTTGCAGAGGACCTGACTTTGATTTCCAGCACCCACGTGGCAGCCCACAGCTGTCTGTTACTCCAGTTTCAGGGGATCTGATGCTCTTCTGGTCTCTGAGGGCACTAGGCATACACATGGTACAGACATACATGTAGTCAGAACACTCATACACACAAAACAATTGGGGGGGGGGCGCGGGTTTCGAGACAGGGTTTCTCTGTATAGTTTTGGTGCCTGTCCTGGATCTTCTGTCCTGGATCTTGCTCTGTAGACTAGGCTGGCCTCGAACTCACAGAGATCCGCCTGGCTCTGCCTCCCGGAGTGCTGGGATTAAAGGCGTGTGCCACTGCCGCCCGGCACAAAACAATTTTTAAAATTTTTAAAAAATTAATTTTAAGACACTGGGTTATCTTAAGATATCCCTGAGGTTGTGGTCCTCCTACCTCAGTCTCTCAGGTACCTGGGGTAACAATGCCATTAAGCCTGGCACATACCAGGCTTGATGTCCAGTGTGTTCTTGGCTGGGTGCTTACAGAGTTTCGTGCTGCTCTGCTGTGTGTGTGTGTGTGTGTGTGTGTGTGTGTGAGAGAGAGAGAGAGATATTTGGGAACTGGGTGTTTTTCCAGTTTGTCTAATACAATAGTGGTCAGACTGAATGCTTCCTGCTGCGTTTTTCCACTATCTTGAGAGCTGTCCTCCTCTCCATCTGTGAGCAGAAAGAGCCCATCTTTTTATTATTCTCCCATGGTATGTTGCAAAACATTAAGTGTGAGCTGGTTTCCTGTGGCAAAAAGTTGACTTTGATTTGTTCTTTTTGAGGTTACTGTGAGTTTATCATAACAGGAGTGCTAAAAATAGCAGCTCTAGTATGGAAACTGTTCACTTACCAACATGGACAGTAACACGCAGGCTTAGCTGAGAGCAGGAAGGAATGGACCACATCTCATGATGAGTTACGACTATCCTAGGGTCCTGCTGTCCTCACTCTCTGAGTCTGTTCTAATGAGCTGTGGAAAAATACTTAGCACATACTCCAGCCTCAGAACTGAAGGCAAAATAACCCAAGATCAAACATTTGGGGCGCATCTGGTGTTTGCACGATCTGTAGCTGAGAATCAGAGGAGGAGAAATCGATTTCCTTAGCAGTGGCTTCACACTAACACCTCGTGAGGAAAGCCCTAATGTAGGCTGCAGAAGAAACTGCTCTGTCGTGTTGGTGTTCAGTATGACCAAATTACTCTGCAGTGATCAAAAGCAGACCGTTAAGAGCATTCCAGGAACTGGGAGTGTAGGCACCTCTACAGATACATATAGACTTGAACAGGTTTTGCTAAGAGGTAAAGAGAAAGATTGTACACAGCAGCTGGAAGCCAGGGCAGGGTGTAATGACCATGGCTTCCCATTGGATAGGGTATCAGAACCAACCGGAGAATCTTCAGAAAGTGCAAATCAACTACACACACACATAAAATAACTTAAAAAGAAAAAAACCTTGAGCTGGGCAGAGTGTTATGCTTCTACTACTTTTACCAGAGAGATGGAGGCATGAAGATCACTTGCATTCTTTTCTTTTTTTTTTTTTTTTTTTTTTTTTGGTTTTTCGAGACAGGGTTTCTCTGTGTAGCTTTGCGCCTCTCCTGGAACTCACTTGGTAGCCCAGGCTGGCCTCGAACTCACAGAGATCCGCCTGGCTCTGCCTCCCGAGTGCTGGGATTAAAGGCATGCGCCACCACCGCCCGGCCCATTCTTTTCTTTTTTAAAGTCAGGCATTGCCATAAGAGCAAATCTAGCCTAGGCTGTAGCACAAGAACTTGTCTCAAAAAAAAAAAAAAAAAGAGAAAGAAAGAAAACAGAGAGGGAAGACTGGATTGATTAGCAGTTAACTTTCTGTAACTCTAGCTTCAGGTGATTCAACACTTCTGGTCTCTGAGGGCACCCGCACTCACAAGCACATACAGCCGCTGCGGCACACGCACACACAGATAAACAGATACATAATTAAAATTTAAAAACCTCTAAAATAATCGGAGTAAGAACCCTAAAAACCCAAGTCAGCACATAGAAAGGTGCCAGTGCTGAACACAGAACGTCATGCTAGGTCCCTAGAAAGGTGTTTGTTTCCGTGGGTTCTCTGTCCACCCCGTCCCTGTCCCATGACCCTGACTGTACTAGATAAGCAGGTGGTCACTGTGCTGATCTCCAGCCCCAAAGCCTTGTTCAACAGTGCATTGCTCGCTCTCCTGAGCAGAAGATGGGGATCTTAAGATGAGATTCCTGCTTACATTCATCTCTGGAAAAGAGAGTTGTGTTTCTTTTCTAAAATAACAGAGCAAAGCTTATGTGATGTGTTGAGAGTGGGGATTGTCCAGTAAGGCACTTTCTCTATAGAAGATTTCTATTTCGGCCGGGCGGTGGTGGCGCACGCCTTTAATCCCAGCACTCGGGAGGCAGAGGCAGGCTGGTCTCTGTGAGTTCGAGGCCAGCCTGGGCTACCAAGTGAGTTCCAGGAAAGGTGCAAAGCTACACAGAGAAACCATGTCTCAAAAAAACCAAACCGAACAGAAAATTTCTGTTTCTACCAAATACTGGTGTGGGGAGACTACAGGGAGCGCACACGTGCCTGTAAACACCAGCGGGTGGTGACTGCAGAAAGACTCAACTCGTCAAAATCCGAATGGGGCCTAGGGGTACACAGAGTAGGAGCTGGGCAGTGTAGAGGAGAGTGCAAAGGTGGGGAGCGCGAGTCACCTCCTTCCTCTCCTGAGTATGGGCAAGAGAAACCCAAGCAGCTGGACGTGATGGCTCACAGGCTAAAATGGCTTGCTACCCTTGCACAGGACCAGAGTTCAGTTTGAAGTGCCCATATGTCTCACAACCATCTGTATGTAATTCCAGCTTCAGAGGATCTTATACCCTCTTGGTGCACTCACATGTACATATGTACGTGTAAAATTATTTTCATGAAAAAAAATTTTTTAAAGATATATTGCTGTAAGCTGGGCAGGGTGGCGCATATCTTTAATCCCAGCACTCGGGAGGCAGAAGCAGGCAGATCTCTGTGAGTCAAGGCCAGCCTGGTCTACAGAGCAAGTTCCTGGGCAGTCAGGACTACACAGAGAAACCCTGTCTGGGAAAAAACAATAACAACAAAAAGATGTATTGCTGTTATTTTAGGTATGTGAGTGCTTTGCCTTCATGTATGTATGTGCATTATGAATGATTTACATAGTGAGTTCCAGGACAGCCAGGGCTGTTACACAGAGAAATCCTATCCAAAAAACATTGAGCCTTCTCTCCAGCCCCAAATGACAGAAAATTTTTTTGAATCTTAAGGGGGAGAAAAAATACATGCATACTCAATCTGTTGAAAGCCAGTATACTCTGGGTTGTGCTTGAGTTCTGTTCTAACCCATTTACTACATTCTCTTCCTTTTCTCTTTGGAGGCAGAGTATCTCTATATACCCATTGCTATCCTAGAATTTGTTATGTAGACCAGGCTAGCCAGGAATACATAGTAAGACCTTGTCTCAGAAAATTGGCATTGGCAACCCCTTCACACAGCTGGTGAGCAGCAACATGAACTACATGGACAAAGCTGGAGTTTATCCTAGGTGAATCTCCTTCTCACACTTATTCCCAGAGAGCTGGCTGGCCACCTCCTTGTCACTACATTGGCCCATCTAGGTATCCAGACATTTCTGTGATCCCCATTTTATCCCACAAAGAGTCCCCACTACCTAGTTCTAGACTCTCTACCACTAAGCCATGTCCCTAGCTCTATAATTCACCTTTTCTTCAGAAAACAGTTCTGACTATAGGTACATACTCGCATCCCACAATCGGCTGGCCATCTTCTCCTGGAACTCTGCACCTCTGGCCTACTTAAACATCTTTTCTCCCCAGGAGGCATCTGCAAGCCCATGCTGTAATTGTTCATGTTCTTGTCCTTAGCACTTCATACTTGTCCTCGCTACTCAGCTTCCCATTTCCCTTTCCTTGTGTTTGAGTTAGGTTTCCTTCCTCTGATCCGATAGCACCTTCTAGACAAGAGCTGGCTAAATGAAGCTTCCTCCCCTCTTGCTTGTCTAGCACTGGTCTGATACAGTGCTGCTTGCTAAATGGGGACTGGTTGAGGTCTCTTGGCACCTGTCCCAAATTTGGAGATTCTGACCAATTCTTACTCTGTTGCTGCATTAGTTTATTCTAGGCCCTTGTGAAGCAGTCTAGAAGAGGTAATTTGCATAGTAGACTCTTGGCCATTTTCCCACTGTGCCACAGCCAGGAAATGTATCTAAACCTCGAAGTGCAGGACTGCCCTTTTGGAGGATTGCTACCGCTATTGGCCTGACTGCCTACACTCAGGCACCATCAAACAGCTAGGAACTTGTGGCTGTGCTGGGCACTGACCTATGGGGAAGATAAGGTCTTTCTAAGGCAGCTGCTTGTTCTTGGTTTCTAAACTTAGCCAACCAAGTCTGGGGCTTACACCTACTTTCTTCCCATAGAAAGTACTTGAAGTTGGTGCTGGGGAGACCTCAGCAATTGAGAGCACCAGCTGCTCTTCTGAAAACCTGAGTTTGATTCCCAGCACCCACTTGGTGGCTTACAAACTCCTGTAATTCCAGTTGCGGGGGATCTGACACCTTCTGAGCTCAGTGAGTACCAGGCACGTATATACATTGTGCACATGTATACATACATTATTCACATATACATGCAGGCAAAACACTCATATGTATTAAACTATTAGAGTTAGGTTTTTAAAAAGAAAAAAGTACTTAAGTCTGTTTGGATTTGAAAGATGTTTGGGTCTGCACTTTGCTGGGTACTAGTTTGTGTTTCCTGCCGTTGAGCAGCTCTTCGTTTTCATGGACCCTGCTTTCTCCTTTCACAGTGAGAAGGACCGTGGTAATCTGTCACTCCCAGTTTTCATGTTAGAAATCATCCTATTCTCTTTGGTTTCTAAAAAACAATATTTTAGTAACGTTGTGTTTTAATTCCTGAAAGGAAACTGCTGCTTGTTTTCTTTAGTTTTACGTCATGTTACTTAGATCCCCACCTGATGAGGGATGGATCCTCTTTAGAAGGCCATAGGCAGGCAGCACTATCTGAGCATGGTGCTCCCCAGTGGGGGTTTGGTGCCCAGCAGTGACAAGAACTCCCGAGGAGCAGCTAGCCACGGGAGACACCTGTGATAATGGGTGACAACTGACTGCTGTTGATTTGCTGTTGTCGTGACCACAGATGTTTAAAAATAATTTGTAGGCAAAAGCAGTGGTGATGTTTGTGTCTGTGCAGCACTTTGTTCTCAGTGGCAGACTTCAGAGACCACAGTCATTGAGAAAAGAGGAAGGCATTACCATCCAGGGAAGAGGAGGGGTGCCTCTCCAGCAGCCTCAGGTGAGACGGCTAGTGCTTAGTGCAGGAAAACAGGTCCAGAGCCACAGGCCCCAAGGCTGGGCAGTTCCTGAAGGCTGAGTCGTGGTGTGTCCTAGTAGTTCCTGGCGGCATGCTTCACCAGTGACGGTTATCTTCATGCCCACACAAGGGCGGCTCCTACTCCATTCTCACACAGGGAAGTCTGAGTCTGAATGGCTGGGTGCTGTCAGAGTTAAACTGAGCAAAGCTTGTGTCCCCAGTACCTGTTTAAGCATCACCTCAAAAGTACCGGGAGACTGTGCAGTGACCCTGATTGTGAGGCGCTGAATGCTGCCAATGGAAGAGACCATTCTTTTATCTGAACTTCGGGAACTCTGGGACCTTGTCTTACACCGCTTTCAAAGATGGGGAAACTGAGGCCTACCACAGTCAGATACATAATGAGCCACATTGTCAGCCACTCGCCTTGTTTTTTCTTTGCAGGTCGTGTCCCTGCCCCCACTTCCCAGCATCTGCCTGTGAGCTGTTGACAAGCCCCAGGCCCAGCTGCAGTGTTGTTAGAGCCTCACATCTTTTCTCTGACTGTCAGATCGTAGTCACGGGAATGTCCTGTGCCATCTTCCCTCTCAAGTGTGCTTGGCAGAGAGCAGCAGATGCCCAGATTCAAGGCCACGTGCCACTCAAGTGCTGGGCTGGAGAAAAGACTCTCTTTGCCTGCTACTTGTGACCAGGCAAACTGGGCTGAGTGCAGAGGCCTGTCATCGTAGTTGTGTGACTGTTGTGCACTGGCCAAGCTGGACACAGCCCGTGGGCTCACACTGTTCGCCTTTGTGTTTGCCTCTGTTTTGTTTGGTTTTGTTTTCCTTCATTAATTATGATCTTTTTATGCTAGTTAGAATGTCCCCATTAAAGGTAAGAGTCACTCAGGAATCATTTATAGACAGAAAAATCGTCTCTGGCAGAGACTGGAATTTGAATGGGAGTGTCATAGATTTTAATCCAATTGTTGATAGAAATGTAACTAAAATTTTAGCTTGAAGATTTTAGTAGCTGCAGGATACTCTGTTCTGTTCATAGTTAGCATCCTATTACTGAGATTAGTCCCAGGTTTACTGTGGTATAAATAACGTGGTGGTGAACATTTGTGCATAATCAGTCAAGTGCTATGACATGACCTTGTGTGGAGAATCTTTTTGAAAGTCTTGTACCCCTGACTAGCCGAGGCCTCTAGCTCGTGGTGCTCCTAGAGCTTCTATTGTAGGTTCTTATTAGCATGTTTTGTGTGATTCACTGAGTGCTCATGCCTCTGCTGAGCATTAGATGAGATACAGGTCCTCTGCCTTTTGCTTGAGTAATCTCAGTGTAATTTGATAGGCAAAAAAGGGCATCTTATTTTGAGTCATTTCTGAGAATTGGTCTTCTCCTTAACCCATCAACAGCTTTCATGTGGCTGTCTGGAGTTTTTCAAAAGCAAGTGAGAGACTGACAGTGAGAGACAGTGTCTTTCTCTCTTGAGCTGATTCATCATAAGGGCATTGATGAAGTTTTATTGGAGGGATGAAAGGGTGAAGAGCTAGCTTTCTGTCGTTATAACAAATAACTTGAGGCAGAAAACTGTTTAGAGAAAAAGATCCTAGTATGGTGGTACTGGGGAGGTATAGGCAGGAGGATAACTGCAAGTTCTGGGCCAGTGTGGCCTGCCTAGTTAGTTTGTGACCATCAGGGCTGCATAATGTGATCCTCTCAAAAAAAAAGTTTGTGTGGGAGGGTCCAGTCTCTTGGAACTGACTGAGGATACCACCATGGATGTACATAGCTGAGCAAAACCTTTCACGGTTGTCATAGTCAGGAAGCAAAGGAGGAGGAGATTTGGATTCCATAATCCCTATCAGGTATACCTTCAACAGCCTACTGGCCTCCCGGTCATCCAAGCCAGGAACCAAGGCTTTATCATGTGAACACTTAGGAAAGCTGTGGGCAGGACTTGGAGTTCACACAGGGCATCTGAGTGTCTTCAGGAAGACCACTGTGGCTCTGGCATCCAGCAGGGGCTAGTAAGTATGTCATTTGTTGTAGCAGGAATCTTAAAGAGTCTTTATTAATAAAACAAACCCAGAGCCAAGTATTGGGGTGAACACTGGAAGATCAGAGAGACAGAACAAGCCACAGCTAACTGGTCAACTTCTCGGCTGATCTTGTTTCCTCCGACTGGAAGCCTCTGTGTCCTCATATCCGAATGGCTCTCAGCTGAACTGTGCTGCTCAAAACCTAAAAGCTTAACCAGCCAAATGCTTCTAGTTTCTGGTCCTCACGCTGTATATGCCTGCTTTCTACCACCACTCCCTGGGATTAAAGGCTCGCTTTCTGGGGTTAAAGGCGTGAGTCACCATGCTTGGCTGTATCCTTGAACAGATGGATTTCTGCCTCTGGAATGCTAGGATTAAAGGCATGTGCTACCACTGCCTATCCTGAGTATCTAGTGGCTTTTCTGTTCTCTGACCCCAGATAAGTTTATTGGGGTACACAATATTTTGGGGAACACAATACCACCACATTTCCTCTCTTTTTGTCTAAAATTAAAAAAGCTTATAACTAATACAAGAAAAATTATATCCAATAAGTATATACAATATACATAGTCAAGATTACATTAATGATGTCTAGTCCATTAACATTTGACAGATTCAGACCAAAAAAAAAACTCCATTAATATATAACAATGTTCAGTCCAGTAACATTTGATAAACTCAGACAAAAAATTTCATTACTTATCTATCCTATGTAAAACAAGTAGTTCCTTTTTAAAAGAAGATTTAATTTCTACCTTTTGTCATTTTTATATCTCCCCCTTTTTCTTTTTAGAGTAGATTAAATTATCTACCCATTTATCTTATTATTTCTTTATCTTTTTTCTCAGAGTAGACTCAGTGATCTACCTCAATTTGTTGATTGTAGGGACCCCATCTGAGGCCTGGGGTAGAGACCTGGGCTCAGAGAGTGTTAATGAAATAAGTATACATATGCATGGACTGATGCTACTGAGACTGGACTTGAGGTCAATAGGAAAACACTGGGCACTGATCTGAGTAGCTGAAGAGAGGCCACCAGCTCATAGTAGCCTCCAGGGACCCCTGTCCTCTGCCACAAGCTGTGTCCTACTACCTCTGAGCTTCAGGTACAACATTGGCCTCCAAGAGATGTGTTTTGGGGTTATTTGAGGCAGGGTCTCCTGTAGTCCAGGCTGGCATTAACTATTATGTAGTAAAAGATGACCTTGGACTTGTAATGGTCCTGCCTTCACCTCCTAAATGATGGGGTTATAGACCTATGCCACTCAAAGGGCTGCTTGTTTCTTTGTTTTGAAGTTCTGCCTCTATCTGCAGAGTTGTGGGATTGCAGGCATGTACAGTGTCCTTGGAGGCTAGGAGAGGATGTCATATTCCCCTGGAACTGGAGGTGGTGAGTCTGGATCCTCTGGAAGAGCATCAGCACCCTTAACCACTTGAGCCATCTCTCCAGTCCCTTGGGTTGGTTTTTTGTTGGTTTGTTTCAAGACAAGGTTTCCCTGTGTAGTCCTGGCTGTCCTGGAACTTGCTCTGTAGACCAGGCTGGCCTCCACCTCCTGAGTGCTGGGATTAAAGGTGTGCCTGCGCTACTACCATCCAGCTAACACCATCTTAAAGAAAAAAGAAAGAGAAACTGAGGTGAAAAGAGTGAAACAGAAAAAAGAAAGGGAGGGGGCTCAATCTACACAGTTAAATGAGTAACCGGAGCCAGTGCTGGCTGCCCTAGGGGGCGTGTGGGTTAGGATACCACGCTGTCGGGGAGGGAGCGACAGAACTGGCAGGCATCTTTTTGGTGTGTTCACACTGAACCACACACTATCCTTGGGGCTTAAATACCTTGACTGAGTGTTCTTGAGTGTCCAGTTTTCCAAAAGAGACTTTAGCCATGTGGCTGTTCATTGGTATTCTGTGCTACCTTCTAACTTGCCAGCTCTCTGGGCCTGAGATGACCTTGGCACAGAGAAGATGCAGCCTAGCAGAAGGAACTAAGCATGTGTGGCTCTGCCAGTCAGGGAGACTGGCTGCTGAGAAAAGCATTCCCTGGCACCCCTAGACTTTCAGAGCTTCTGGAGTTGGCCATGCTAGTCCCTGTGTGGTTTTTGTTGGTCACCCTTTTGAGAATCCTCTGGGGAGGGGAGCATTCTGTTTGTTCTTCCTGCCCAGCACTGGCCTGAGCACCACTCAGTACACATGGACTGAATGGGTGATTTTTCAGTGTCAGGCCTGTAGTCTTCCCTTAGATAGCTAGCTATCGGAGGAGACCCAGTGTGGTAGTATATAGGCCTGCATTCCTAGTTACTTGGAAGACGAATTAGGACCAGAGGTCTAGGCCAGCCTGGGCTGCATGGTAAAATCTTATTGGAAAACAAAGAATATCAGTTAGCCTGTTGGAAATGTGTGCTTGCTTCCCAACTCTAGTTTCAGCACTGAGAAGGCTGAGGCAGGGGAATCACTGGTAAATGAGTTTAAGACTAGCCTGGGTATCATAATGACACTCTGTATCTAAAAAACAAATGAAGGAAGCTTTCCTAAGTGAGCCAGTTAGGGATGGATGAGTTTCTTACCTCAGAGAGCACTAGGAAGATGAGGCCACGTTGTCTGCCCAGAAAAGGGGATTTTGATACAAGTTCAAGCTCCCTGCCTTCAGTTGAGCCAGTTTTGAAGCTTGTGTTGGGGCTAGTTTGTAACACCCAATTGTCTTCTATTAAATAAATACTTGTGTGTGTACGCTGCTTAGTTTTGGTGATTACATTAAATACAGTATTTGACTGACTGGTTGTTGCTTCTGTGCTGGGGATGGAACCCAGGGCCTGGCCCCTGCTGGATAAATACATTATTGCTGGGCACATCCCTAGCCCCTGTCATAATAACATTTATTTTTGGCTTTTGAGACAGCATCTCACTGTGTAACCCAGGCTAAACTTGAATGTGAACTTACCAGTGTTCTTCTGTGTGACCACAACTGCTGGTAGCACTGAACTGATGTTCTGAATTCAGATGAAGTTTGTGTATATTTAGATATTTTTGTAGAAATTGTATTATGTTCACATACACACAGATTCTCTGTAATAACATGAAAAAAAATTGTTTGGTTTTGTTTTTCTAGATAGGGTTTCTCTGTGTAGCCCTGACTGTCCTGGAACACACTATGTAGGCCTGGCTGGCCTCGAACTCAGAGATTTCCACCTCTGCCTCCCTGAGTGGTGGGATTAAAGGCATATGCCACCACTGCCTGGCAGAAACTTATCTGCAAAGTTTGTCTTTTTCATCACATGGACTAGTCCTAAACTTAAGCGGAGACATCGGTTTATCTTCATCAGTAGATGTCATCATCCTTCTATACTTGGGCAACCTGAGTAAACTAGCTCAGATGAAGTTAATCAAGTTTAGAACTCATTTTGTAGTGTTTTTATGTTATCGGATGAGTCATCTTTTGGCAAAGCAGTTCTCCACCCATCCCAGTGTTTGATCTGAACGAATTATAGCCCAAACTGGTGAGGAGGTGTGCTTCAGAAATGCAGAGTCAACAGCCGTGCTCGTGTGTGGCTGACTGTTTAAGAGCTTCAGAAAGCAGAACAAAGAGCAGAATGTAATAAGAACTTGTCAGGGGCTGGGGTCAGTCCTTTCTGGAACATGAGTTTCTTCCCGCCCCCTTCACCTCTGCTAATGAGTGCTGACATTCGAAAAAGAGGAAAAAAGACAGCTTCTGTTTGCTTTACTGCAAATAAGTGGCCCTGCTGTTGGCCGCCTTCCCAGTGGCCCTGAGAGTACCTCAGATGTGGTCAGTGAGGTATGTGCACGGTGCCAGCCTGCCGGCCTCATCCAGGCAGACTGCACCCGGAATGGCCAGGCCGCTGCCTTCTGCCTTTGCTCTTCCTCTTGGTGCCACCTGGTTTCTTTCTGAGGCAAAGCTGATGTTACTCTCTGAAGACAGATGGACAAGGGGTTCTGCTCCCTCTGCTCATCCTCTGCTCTAGTAACTTGCAGTGGATGTTACCTTTTTGAGCATTCAAGACCATCTGGGAAATGCGTCTTGCAAAAATGTAGTCCAGTGCGGCAAAGGACCAGACCACATGGCACCTTTAGTGCCAAATTCCTGCATGGTTCCGCCACTTTTGGATTCCAGAAGCAGGCCTACGTTTACACTCCTGTTCCTTTTCCCTTAGCAGTTAACTGAGTCATCTCTCACTGGATGTTTCTTCCTCTCACCATCCTCTCGGATTACTCTTGTGAAGATAGTGATATGTGTAGGCTGTTGAGCATGGCTCCTTACACACAGCAGGGTCTATCACTGTTTGGACTTTGTTCAACACTGTGGGGGTTGTGCCCTGTCTTCTCAGGAGTCACTGACAATGTGCAAGAGCCACCCAGAAAAATTGCTGTGGCTAGACTGTCTGGTGTCTGAGTTTCTCTGTTTTCGTGGGACATTGGGGAAGAGGCTTTCTGCATAACAGAGTGCAGCTGCCACTCCAGCCAGTCCCCAGATGCCAAATCAAGTGTCTTCATTGCATGCACATTTGGTGTGTGGGTAGAAGCCGAGCTCATGTGGCAGTGCATGGTGGCTGGCCTCTAGCTTGTCAAGTGCTCAGACAGCACTAAGGGGTTCAGTGATGCCCTTGGAGAGGCTGACATACCAGACCACACACAATACCCCGAATGAGCAATAATTCCAACACAGAAGAGGTGCCAGAGAAATGGAGACCCTTCAGTAGAGACTCCCCAGAAATCATAGTCTTTTCTTCTACCTGCTCAGACTTTGGTGGAGGCCCATTGCCCCTGTGAATTTTCTGTTAATGAATGTTGCCTCAATCATAAGCTTTCCAGATGCAGAAATCAAGACCTACTCACTAGTTTACTTTCATACCTAGGTGCCTGGCACCAAGTAAGTGCCTCTGGGGCTGGTCAAATAAAAGAATTTGTGCTACTTGGAAACTGAGACTCAGTCTTGGGTGCTCATTTGCCAAGCTGTTTGTCAGTCTTAGAGTAATAGGATGTGCTTTAAAAAAGAAAATCGCCGGGCGGTGGTGGCGCACGCCTTTAATCCCAGCACTCGGGAGGCAGAGCCAGGCGGATCTCTGTGAGTTCGAGGCCAGCCTGGACTACCAAGTGAGTTCCAGGAAAGGCGCAAAGCTACACAGAGAAACCCTGTCTCGAAAAACCAAAAAAAAAAAAAAAATCAAAAAACCTGGGGCGCACGCCTTTAATCCCAGCACTCAGGAGGCAGAGCTAGGCGGGTCTCTGTGAGTTCCAGGCAAGCCTGGTCTACAAAGCAAGATCCAGGACAGGTTCAAACCCTGTCTCAAAACAAACAAACAAACAAACAAAAAAACCTGGAGCTAGAGAGATGCCTCAGGGGTTAAGAGTACTTGCTACTCTTCCAGAGGATCGGAGTTAGTTTCCCAGCACCCATTTCAGGCGACTGAGCCATCTGTAACTCCAGGGGATCAGACACCTCTAGCTTCCACAGGAACCTGCAGTCATGTGTACATGCCCACATGTACATACGCACACTTATACATAATTTAAAATCTTAATTTAAAAAAGAAAAAGAAATAGTTCTTTACTTGGGTCAAGTTCAAAATGCTTGTATTTTTAAGAGCCTGGAACAACTTGAGATGGCTCAGCTTTCCAGTCTCCTTTATCTTCAGGAAGAGCCTCTGCCCTGTGGGGCTAAGACTTAAATGAGTGTATCTAGCTAACAGTAAAGTGCCTGTCCAGGTAAGTGCTGTGCAGAGCACCGGGGCTTAGGCTACGAAGCTGATGGACGTGTCTCCCTCCACTCTGAAATACGCTGTGGTATGGGGCAGACTGTGACCCTGTGGTCGCTCTGCCTTGAAGAAGTGCACAGGTGACAGCGGGCCGGTACAGCAGCCGCAGAAAGTGCTTGTGTCAATCAGTACTGCTTCATTTGGACTAAGTTCTCCTTACATAAGCCTGGTGCCGAGACGGGGTTGGAACCTCTCCCTGCTTCCTGGGTTCCTGGAGGTTGACATAGTTCTTGTGTTAAGGGAGGTTTGTTTGCAGTAACTTGCCTGTCTGGTGAGTGAGTATTTGGCTATCCTTTCTGGCTGAAGCAGCCCTTTGAACTGATGCCTAGAATGCAGGCCTCCCACCCCAACCTCTCCTCCAGGTCATAGTAACGGGGCCTTCTGCTGGCCTCTTCTGCCCACACGCATTTTACTTGTTTCCTCCTCAGGAAAGCCTTACCTGACTTTGACCTGGGTCAGATCCCATTTTACTTTCTGAGCACTTGTCACAGGAAATTTAGTTGTTGTACTGCTATAGTTGCCTCTCTGGCTGCATTTGTTGGATGGGGGAAGAAAGTGTATTACCTTTCACTTGGCCTGCATTTTGATTAATGTATTATTTCCTATAGGTAAATATTTAAAAAAAAAAGGTATTTTGGGTTTTCCTTCTATTGAGATTTGAAGTGAGATCAGAGCATTCATTCTAAGATTGGCTCTCTAACCTCCTTTTCCCCTTTCCCAGTGCTGCTGAAATTCCGCACAGATAAAGGGAGAGATCCCAGTTCTGAGAGCTACAGTGAGGACGCTGAACTGCTGCTGCAGATACGAAATGATGTGCTTGACTCACTGGGCGTCAGTCCTGACCTGCTTCCCGATGACTTTGTCAGGTTGGTATCTGAACAGACAGACAGACAGCTGGTTTTGGTGTTTGTCTTTATGGAGACCCAAAGCCTCAAAGGGGACTCCTGTACCACATTTGCCAGCTGCATAAACCACCTACCAGTGCTCTAACCATCACTGCAAGAGAAGCGAAGACTTGTAGGTTTGGTTTTCATGTGGTTTGAAATTGAAGGTGCGATGTGGTCTGTTAGCACGTTCTGGGCCTTTCTGTCTCACTCTGTCCTGTGTGAGGGTTCATCGGTGCGCCATTTCCTCATCTGTCACAGGGTGGAGGATCCCAGCATGTGGAGCACTACAGCTTTTCCCTGCCTCCTGGCCTTGTGTTCAGTCTTAGCTGTGTAATGCTGTACTGTGTCTCCTTGGGTCGCACACTGTCCAGATTCAGCTACAGGGTGAATGAATAAGGAGCGAGTTGCTGGGTCTAAAGGTGTGCCTGGTCACTTGGTAGATATTGGGGTAGTTTTTTGTCATCCAGCGGCAGGTATATTTCAGTAGAGACCTCAGATCCAGTCCTCAGGCTCTGGGAAGCTCTAGCCTTGGCAGTCTCTGGCTCTCACACAGTCAGGCTTGGGATGTTGTGCACAAGTAGCCCTGAGTTCCTTCCAGGCAGCTCTGCCATCTTGGGCACACTTGAGCTGACCCTCTCTGCCACCGCCCCCCCCCCCCAACCCCTGAGCCTCCAAGCTGTAGCCCTAGGAATTGTGCGCACTGCAGTTTATTTGCTGCAGTTTCTGAGCAGCTTTCTGCAACAGGAGAGTTGCTCAGTGAGCTCATGATCTGCCTTAGTCCTCAAAGCAATGCAGTTGGTAGGCACGGGGTAGAAGTTCAGGGAAGCACAGTGACTAGTCCCCTGCACGGACGTCTTTCTGCACGGCTGTGTCTGTTAGCCCATACTGCTTCCAGGTTCCTTCCCGCAGTACAGTTGGTCAGAGAGTCCCTTCTTCCTAGAGCCTTCTCTCTTTCGGGGCTCCTCGTACCCACCCTAGCCAGCATCACCCATGCAGGAGCACCATTGCTCTTCAACTCCTGTGCAGCTGGGAACCAAAAGGCTGTCCTCCACAGCTAGGAAAGCCGTCTCTGAGGCACTTTGGCAAGAGTGACACAAAAGAGCAGGCCTGGCAGCACTGCACGCTTGGCACTCTGCTCCTGCTGTGGGAAGGACCAGAACACGAGGAGCAGGCATTGCTTGCTCTGTCCTTCAGAGCCTGAGGAGCACTCAGTCCCACCAAGCTTCTCCAGCAGACCCACCCAGGCAGTCAGTGGACACACAGCTAATTGACTAATTTGAGCATTTATGGTGATGAACTGGCTGTTTATATCTCACCAGACAACAGAAGGGACAGGCTGTACATGGCCTAATGAGCTACTGGCTGGCCCTTCTCTTCCTCCTACCCCCTGTAGAAACCGCATCCCCTGTCTAGGTTCTGTGTGTCCAGCTGCTTCTCCTATTGCCTTCTAAGTAAGAGGTGTTCAGAGGCCTCTTGAAACCTGTCTGCTGGCAGGCTCGGGGATAGGATAGGGCTGTGGTTGAGGAACTGTCTCCCGCTCTCAGCGGAGCTACCCCTTACAAATTGCGTGACAGTGCTGCTGAGCAGGGACAGCTATGCTTGCGTGTCTGTCCTTCATCTGGCCTGTGCCACTTACCATCTTGTTTGGAGTGCTGTCTCCTCAGAGAGCCTTATTGCTTTTCTGATGAGAAAAGATGGCCTGTTTCAGCTGCTGCTAACATCTTTGGGTCTGGGCTCCCAGATAATTTTTTTTTTCTGTTGTTTAAATATTATAATAGATATTCTTCAACTGCCTCTTTACAGTATACCCTACAGCTTATTTATGTTACTAACCAGATCTCTGTTACTTGTACATCCGCTTGTTACTTGAACATACTTGTTATTACACTGCCTGGATGTGTAGCTATTAATTTAACCATCACTTACTTTATTAGGGTGTGTTTATAGTGTCCGCACTTCATAAACAAATATTCATAACTTTATGTACAAAATAATTGATATTGTATTTTTTTAAAAATTAAAAGGATCAGGAGTTCAGAGCCCTCTTCTACTATGTAGCATGTTTGAAGCTAGCCTGGGTTATATGAGATCCTGTTTCAAAACAAATTGATAGTAAAGTATGCATGACAAAATTAGCCATCTTGGGCTGGGACGATGAGCTTATGGGGTAGGGCACTTGCCGCCACCCTGTCACCCTGAGTTCAGTGCCTATGGCCACATCGTGAAAGAAGAAACCCAGCCTTCTGCAAGTTGTCCTCTGACCTCTACTCAACGCTGTGGCACGTTCACATTAGTAAATAGAGATGTAAATGAGTAAAGTCAGTAATAATTTTTTCTAATTTGGCCTTTTAGCCATTTGTTTTAGGTGTGTTAGGGAGAGTAGGATACATGTGCCATAGTGTGTCTGGGGGTCAGAGAATACCTGTGGAGTCCCTTCTCTCTCCACCTTTATTGAGTTCCAGGGATTGAACTCAAGTCACCAGGTCTGTGCCTTTACACGCTGAGTCATCTCCCTGGGCCTCACTCTAGCCTTTGTTTTGTTCAGTGGTTTGTTTTGATTTGTTTACTTAGACTTCATGTGTGTGGATGTGTGCCTGCATGTTGTCTGCACCATGTGTGTGCAGGAGCACACAGGCCAGAGGAGGGTGTCAGATGCTCTGGAACTGGGCATAACAGGTGGTTATGAGCTATTGTGTGGTGCTGGGACTAGAACCCAGATCCTCTGGAAGAACAGCAAGTGCTCTTAGCCCCATTTTACCAATTTTTGGGTATGCCATTCCTTGGCATTAATTCTGCTCTCACTGTTGCACAACCATTATCATCGACTACCTATTCTATTCCTCCCGCTCCTGGGGTCTCCAGTGCACTCTGTCCTAAATCTCCCATGTAAGTGGAATCGTGTAGTATTTGTCCTAGGCATCAGACATCTCAGCACATACGTGTTCTCCCATCAACTTTCGAGGCAGAGGGAAGAGCATTGCCGTGAGTTCAAGGCTAACCAGGACTCTAGAGAGACCACTTCAACCTCTCACCTACCCATGTCGTCCTTTGTGAACTTTGTGGGATTTTTGTTCTTTGTTCTTTTGGATTTATTTTTTTGCTTTTTCTTTTTGGTGCTAGAGACTGACTTACAGGACCCAAACACACTAAGCACATGCTATACCACTAAGCTACAGCCCCAGCCCCAACTGACAGGTTTGTATGTCTATGGGTAGGTGCCCATACATGTGCTTTCCTATGGATGTGGAGACCAAAGGTTGAATTGGGGTATCTTTCTCAGTCATTCTCCATCTTATGTTTCTAAGACAGAGTCTCTCACCGAACCTGGAGGTTGCTCATTGGTTAAACTAGCTAGCCA